TGTACCAAACGTGCATGACATTTTTCCAAAACGTGCATGACATTTTGTATGAAAACGTGCATGACATTTTGTATTAAAACGTGCATGACATTTGTATTCAAAACGTGCCATGACATTTTGTATTAAAACGTGCATGACATTTTGTACCAAAACGTGCATGACATTTTGTATTAAAACGTGCATGACACTTTGTATTAAAACGTGCATGACATTTTGTATTAAAACGTGCATAACATTTTGTATTAAAACGTGCATGACATTTTGTATAAAACTTGCATCTTATTTTGTATTAAAACGCGCATAACATTTTGTATTAAAAGTTGCATGACATTTTGTATTCAAACGTGCATGATATTTTGTATTAAAACGTGCATGACATTTTGTATTAAAACTTTCATGACATTTTGTATTAAAACGCGCATAACATTTTGTATTAAAACGTGCATGACATTTTGTAAAAACGTGCATGACATTTTGTATGAAACGTGCATGACATTTTTGTAAAAACGTGCATGACATTTTGTAATTAAACGTGCATGATATTTTGTATTAAACTGCATAACATTTTGTATTAAAACGTGCATGACATTTTGTACCATAACGTGCATGACATTTTGTATTAAAACGTGCATGACATTTTGTATTAAAACGTGCATGACATTTTGTATCAAAACGTGCATGACATTTTGTATTAAAACGTTCATGACATTTTATATTAAGACCTGCATGACATTTTGTAATAAAACGTGCATGAAATTTTGTATTAAAAAGTGGAAGACATTTTGTATTAAAACGTGCATGACATTTTGTACCAAAACGTGCTTGAAATTTTGTATTAAAACGTGCATGACATTTTGTACCAAAACGGGCGTGACCATTTGTATTAAAACGTGCATGACATTTTGTACCAAAACGTGCATGACATTTTGTATTAAAACCTGCATAACATTTTGTATTAAAACGTGCATGACATTTTGTATTAAAACGTGCATGATATTTTGTATTAAAACGTGAATGACATTTTGTATCAAAACGTGCATGACATTTTGTACCAAAACGTGCCTGACATTTTGTATTAAAACGTGCATGACATTTTGTATTAAAACGTGCATGACATTTTGTACCAAAACGCGCATAACATTTTGTATTAAAACGTTCATGACATTTTGTATTAAAACGTGCATGACATTTTGTAATAAAACGTGCATGAAATTTTGTATTAAAAGTGCAAGACATTTTGTATTAAAACGGGCATTGACATTTTGTACCAAAACGTGCTTGAATTTTGTATTAAAACGTGCATGACATTTGTACCAAAACGGCGCGTGACATTTGTATTAAAACGTGCATGACATTTTGTACCAAAACGTGCATGACATTTTGTATTAAACCTGCATACATTTTGTATTAAAACGTGCATGACATTTGTATTAAAACGTGCATGACTTTGTATTAAACGTGCATGACATTTTGTATCAAAACGTGCATGACATTTTGTACCAAAACGTGCCTGACATTTTGTATTAAAACGTGCATGACATTTTGTACCAAAACGTGCATGACATTTTGTATTAAAACGTGCATGACATTTTGTATTAAAACGTGCATAACATTTTGTATTAAAACGTGCATGACATTTTGTATTGAAACTTGCATCGCATTTGGAATTAAAATGCGCATAACATTTTGTATTAAAACGTGGGTGACATTTTGTATTAAAACGTGTATGAAATTTTGTATTAAAACGTGCATGACATTTTGTATTAAAACGTGCATGAGATTTTGTTTTAAAACGTGCATGACATTTTGTATTAAACGGCATGACATTTTGTTTTAAACCTGCATGACATTTTGTATTAAAACGTGCATGACATTTTCTATTTAAACGTGCATGACATTTTGTATTAAAACGTGCATGACATTTTGTATTAAAACGTGCATGACATTTTGTATTAAAACGTGCATGACATTTGTATTAAAAACGTGCTTTGACATTTTGTATTAAAACGTGGATGACATTTTTTATTATAACCTGCATGACATTTTGTATTTAAACCTGCATGACATTTTGTATTAAAACGTTCATGACATTTTGTTTTAAAACTTGCATGACATTTTGTATTAAAACCTGCATGACATTTTGTATTAAAACGTGCATAACATTTTGTATTAATAAGTGCATAACATTTTGTATCAAAACGTTCAGAACATTTTGTATTCAAACCTGCATGACATTTTTTATTAAAACGCGCATAACATTTTGTATTAAAACGTGCATGACATTTTGTAATAAAAAGTGCATGACATTTTGTATTAAAACATGCATGACATTTTGTACGAAAACGTGCATGACATTTTTTAATAAACGTGCATGACATTTTGTATTAAAACGTGCATGACATTTTGTATCAAAACGTGCATAACATTTTGTATTAAAACTGTGCATGACATTTTGTATTAAAATATGCATGACAATTTTGTATTAAAACGTGCATGACATTTTGTATTGAAACGTGCATGACATTTTGTATTAAAACGTGCATGAAATTTTGTATTAAAAAGTGCAAGACATTTTGTATTAAAACGTGCATGACATTTTGTATTAAAACGTGCATGATATTTTGTATTAAAACGTGCATGACATTTTGTATTAAAACGTGCATGACATTTAGTACCAAAACACGCATAACATTTTGTATTAAAACGTGCATGACATTTTGTATTAAAACGTGCATGAAATTTTGTATTAAAAAGTGCAACACATTTTGTATTAAAACGTGCATGACATTTTGTACCAAAACGTGCTTGAAATTTTGTATTAAAACGTGCATGACATTTTGTACCAAAACGTGCATGACATTTTGTACCAAAACGTGCATGAAATTTTGTATGAAAACGTGCATGACATTTTGTATTAAGACGTGCATGAAATTTTGTACCAAAACGTGCATCACATTTTGTACCAAAACGTGCCTGACATTTTGTATTAAAACGTGCATGACATTTTGTACCAAAACGTGCATGACATTTTGTATGACATTTTGTATTAAAACGTTCAAGACATTTTGTATTAAAACGTGCATGATATTTTGTATTAAAACGTGCATGAAATTTTGTATTAAAACCTGCATGACATTTTGTATTAAAATGTGCATGACATTTTGTATTAAAACGGTCATAACATTTTGTATTAAAATGTGTATGATATTTGTATTGAAACGTGCATGACATTTTGTATTAAAACGTGCATGACATTTTGTATTAAAACGTGCATGACATTTTGTATTGAAACGTGCAAGACATTTTGTATTAAAACGTGCATGACATATTGTAATAAAACGTGCATGACATTTTGTATTAAAACGTGCATGACATTTTGTAATAAAACGTGCATGACATTTTGTATTAAATTGTGCATGACATTTTGTATTAAAACGTGCATGATATTTTGCATTAAAACGTTCATGACATTTTGTGTTCAAAGGTGCATGATATTTTGTATTAAAACGTGCATGACATTTTGTATTAAAACTTTCATGACATTTTGTATTAAAACGCGCCTAACATTTTGTATTAAAACGTGCATGACATTTTGTAATAAAACGTGCATGACATTTTGTATTAAAACGTGCATGACATTTTGTACCAAAACGTGCATGACATTTTTTAATAAACGTGCATGAGATTTTGTATTTAAACCTGCATGACATTTTGTATTAAAACGTTCATGACATTTTGTATTAAAACGTGCATGACATTTTGTATTAAAACGTGCATGACATTTTGTATTAAAACCTGGATGACATTTTGTATTAAAACGTGCATGAAATTTTTTATATTAAAACGGTCATAACATTTTGTATTAAAATTTGTACGACATTTTGTATTGAAACGGTCATAACATTTTGTATTAAAACGTGCATGACATTTTGTATTAAAACGTGCAAGACATTTTGTATTAAAACGTGCATGACATTTTGTAATAAAACGTGCATGACATTTTGTATTAAAACGTGCATGACATTTTGAAATAAAACGTGCATGACATTTTGTATTAAAACGTGCATGACATTTTGAAATAAAACGTGCATGACATTTTGTATTAAATTGTGCATGACATTTTGTATTAAAACGTGCATGATATTTTGCATTAAAACTCATTCCCGTCCGGTCTGATTAATTTAGGACTTAGAAGTCCTACTTTTTTAATGTCTAATAACTCCGCGAATGCGCGAGCAAAAAACACAAAAATACCACCAAATTATAGCTTGAGAAAAGTACTATAACCCCATCGTTTCTGTTATAATCCGGAAATTAATAAATATTTCTGTTAACCTGACACCGCCCTGCAGCTGTCAAAATCATATCAAATTACAAAGTGATGACAACCGGAAATATAGCTCGCCTTTGGAATTTCGTTTTTTTCTTCGTTATTTTTCATCCTTTCGTATTTTAACCGTTATGGATAAACTAGAAATGCTTTATTTATCTTTTCTGATAGTTTTTAAGTCAGGATGGGCAGAAAAACTCGAAAAATATCGATTTTTCTTATTTGTTATTGTTTGTAGCGAGAGGCGTTGCTCAGCGCACGCACATGCGGTTGTCGCGTGAGGTGAAAGGTGTCAAAAACTCAATGATACCTACCCCCTAGGGGTAAAATAAGCCCGGAAATCGATATCTGGGGTAAAATTGTCCCTAGAAGACATATATTCGGCCTTTTTGGAGCGAAATTTTTCCGATTTTTTGTCAAATTTTCGCCAATATGATGATAATTATATGCAAATTTTCGGGTTTTCCGTTTGTAAACACGTTTGTTGGAAATATCACTACAAGTCGCCAAAACGACTGTATTTCAAGCAAAATAGATGGAAATATTGATCACAATGTAAGCTACAAACATTTGGAGGTTTTTAGGCGAGATTTCTGGAAGGCTTTGCGTATTTTCGCTTCTCCAAAATTCAATTTCAAAAGTACAAGATCGGCAATTAATATCTTGGCTTATAGGAAAGCTATTGAAATGAACTAAACTTATACAAATAGATAAATGTTTTAGCTTTAAGATAATACAATTTCTGGTTGATTTGATAAAATACTTGCAGATAAAATCGAAATTATCTGCATGCGTCGTTTACGACCGGACGGCAATGAGTTAAAACGTTCATGACATTTTGTATTCAAACGTGCATGATATTTTGTATTAAAACGTGCATGACATTTTGTATTAAAACTTTCATGACGTTTTGTATTAAAACGCGCATAACATTTTGTATTAAAACGTGCATGACATTTTGTATTAAAACGTGCATGACATTTTGTATTAAAACGTGCATGACATTTTGTACCAAAACGTGCATGACATTTTGTATTAAAACGTGCATGACATTTTGTATTAAAGCGTGCATGACATTTTGTATTAAAACGTGCATGACATTTAGTATTAAAACGTGCATGACATTTAGTACCAAAACGCGCATAACATTTTGTATTAAAACGTGCATGACATTTTGTATTAAAACGTGCATGAAATTTTGTAATAAAACGTGCATGACATTTTGTATTAAAACGTGCATGACATTTTGTATTAAAATGTGCATGACATTTTGTACCAAAACGTGAATAACATTTTGTATTAAAACGTGTATGACATTTTTTTTAAACGTGCATGACATTTTGTATTAAAACGTGCATGACATTTTGTATTAAAACGTGCATTACATTTTGTATTAAAACGTGCATGACATTTTGTACCAAAACGCGCATAACATTTTGTAATAAAACGTGCATGACATTTTGTATTAAAACGTGCATGACATTTTGTATTAAAACGTGCATGACATTTTGTATTAAAACGTGCATGACATTTTGTACTAAAACGCGCATAACATTTTGTATTAAAACGTGTATGACATTTTTTTTAAACGTGCATTACATTTTGTATTAAAACGTGCATGACATTTTGTATTAAAACGTGCATGACATTTTGTATTAAAACGTGCATGACATTTTGTATTAAAACGTGCATGATATTTTGTATTAAAACGTTCATGACATTTTGTATTCAAACGTGCATGATATTTTGTACTAAAACGTGTATGACATTTTGTATTCGCGTGCGCAATGCGAAGGCCACGAATGACTGACGTTGGAGTGTTGGAGGTTCGAGTGTTGGAGGTTCGATATACATAAGTGACATTTCTCTCTTGGAAATTATTCATATCATACTTTTGTTTTCAGATGATGACGGATCGTTGCAGGATCAGGAGGATCATCGCAGCATCAGATGTTCAAGAATCGTTGCAGGATCAGATGGTATGGTACGGTATGGTGTGGTGTGTTATGGTATGGTATGGTATGGTATTGCTACCTAAGTGACATTTGTGACTTGAAAATTAATGTCATATAATTTTGATAAAGTATCGTTGTAGGATCAGATGTTGAAGGATCGTCGCAGGATCAGATGATGAAGGATCGTCTCAGGATCAGATGGTGTGGTATGGTATGGTATGGTATGATACTGGTATCTAAGTGATATTTGTTACTTATAAAATTAATATCATATCTTTGTTCTAAAGTATCGTTGCAGGATCAGATGTTGAAGAATCGTCGCAGGACCAGACGGATCGTCGCAGGATCAGTGATGAATTAGATGTTGGAGGAGCGTCGCAGGATCAGTGATGAATTAGATGTTGGAGGAGCGTCGCAGGATCAGTGATGAATTAGATGTTGGAGAAGCATCGCAGAATCAGTGATGAATTAGATGTTGGAGGAGCGTCGCAGGATCAGTGATGAATTAGATGTTGGAGGAGCGTCGCAGGACCCTTTGGAGGGTTTTTCACCGGGCACTCCGGTTTCCCTCCTTTTCGTTTGGCTTTAAAAAAGAGTGTCCAGGCCTGGAGCCAAACCAAAACGTGTTGTTTGATAGTGATAAAAACGCGTTTGTGGCTTCTGGGTTCGATTCCCAGAACACTGTCGTAAAAGAATTTTAAAAAGATGGTTGTGCAATCATTACTTAATTTACGTAAAAAATAGGAAATATCTGGCATTGGGATTAGCACGTAATAGGTCCTCATGGTCAGGGCCGCGGGGATAGAGCACTGTCAAGGGGGAGGGCATCTCCTGTACTCCAAAAACCTGGGAACGAAGGATGGGGGGGCATCTCCTCCCCCAATAAAATTGTGAAATTTACCAGGCCTCCTGTTTAAAAACCACTGTTTAAAACATTGTCTTTGAAGTAATAAAAGGCAGTTGAACCTACAATCTAGACGAAACTCAGTCTTTGCACTTGCAGTCTCGAAGAAGTTCGGGAAAAGTTGGAAGTCTTGCTTAGGTACATGGTGATATTCCTGCCGATTTTTACTGCTTTATCTTGTATATTTCGGTTGAAAATGTCAAATGCAAGTGAGCGGTTACTTTAATTTAGTGTTTCCTTGCTTATTTGATTTCAGAACGAACTATGGCGCCGAAAGATGGGGAAGGAAAAACGTAAAGGCTTTCTCGCAGCAAATAATAGGTATTATTCTATTAATATTTGTCTATTTTGCATTTGTGACTTGAAAAAACACGTTGTGTGTGTTCGTGGTAGTCCTTCTTGGAGAACTGTAAACATTCCTTCAACTACAGATATCTCGTTGTCGGAATGGAACTCTAATATAAGATAAAGTACTTAATAAACACCTATGTAAGCTTTTACTGATTTCATAGAGTGAGTTAGAAGTCAGATATGTTAAAAACAGAAGGAAAATGCTGGGTTAATGAATAGTTTGCAGTATATTTTTACCAAACCTAACCAACTGAATTTACCACTGTAATTAGAACTTCATCATCACAAATTATTTCTTGCAACTCATTATCAAAAAAATTATTATGTTTAAAATCCTCTGGGCTATTTTAATCAGATAATTTAAAATGGACACTCATGAAGCACAATTCCACATGGTATAATAATGGACTGCAGTATAATATGCACCATTCTGTGGCTTCCTTAATATTTTACTATAGAAATTTTATTTGTGCCATACAATTGTGGAAAAATTACAGTGCATGTGTAATTCAAATGTTGTTGCCTAAATGATTCGGCAGCATTTTGTTGTTCGTCAATGGCAATTGCTGTGACAATATTTAAGCCTAAATATAATGGGGTGCATTGTACCTTTTCAGCTACCTTTTTTGGCAGCTCATTTTGGATGTCATCAGTGCACAAAGGCACCTGATGCAAACCATGAGCAAAATAATCGAACACCCACTGTGCCATAAAATTCGGTGCAGGACCCCCTTGCACAATTCTGCAAGCCATCAGCATTCCAGCTGCCTTAAAATAACACTCTGTGAGTGATATGGTGCTCGGTACAGGAACACCACCTTCAAAAAGTCTGATTTTCATTTGATCCAAGGTTTCTATTATTTCATTTTGGGCAATATTTTAAGGATTAGGCTGCTTTGATGTGTAATATTGAATAATATATATAACGCATGCACTTTAAGGTGAATATCATAGCGAATTGGCAACATATCGACCTAAAAAAACATGTATCCACTGAGGACAATTTCTTCTTTAAAGGGGTCCAATTTTATTAAAATCGGTCAAGTATTCGCACAGGAATCGCAAATTAAAATCAGCAAACTACTTTGAATTATCACCGGAGTTTATCGGCATTATCATACCATGTGATCTTCTACGATTGTCAGCAAAGTTGAAGATTGTTCGAAGAAGAGTTCGCCGTTGACTAAAAGGTGTTCTGGCTTGAGTTCTTCGACTTGCTGTATGCTGCCACGGTGGGGGTTTCTTTTCCCCGCTGGGGTGGTATGCAACGATCATTGCACTCTGCTAGTTCCCACTGAATTACTGAATGTAGCTCAGGGTTTCTTTGCTTTTTTTCGTTGTATATAGGTTTATCTGAACAGCCAGTTGTCAAAAGATGAAGTAGAAATATTTTCTTAAAGCTGTGACAGTTTAATATCAGTTCAACTGATTCAGTTGGGAACTTGTGGAGGTGAATTTCAAAATAGCGATGCCACAGAGATGATGCCATGTGGACCTTGTGGCTTTCACCTTTGTGGGAAGCTGGTCGTGCTGTGTGTTCAAAGTTAAGTATTTTGTTTTCCTCTTAATCTTCTAAAGCAAATCGTTTGGTCAGAAATAATGCAAAAACCATGTACAATATGAAATACTCTTCCTAAAAAGCTAGCTAATTCAGCTTCGATTTTAATACGAATTTTCCCTTTTAAAATCTAGCATGAAGATGAAGCCGATTTCGAGGGAATCTTTCAACGTGCTGGCCAGTAAAGGTATTAAGCTCATAACATTTTAGTGATATATGGCATGTAACGTTGTACGCCCAGAAAGTAATATGGCTCTTTTTTAAATCCTTCTTTAATTTGCTGTGCTGGATGCTGTATTTCCCTGGATGAAGGGATACTTAAGCTTGAAATCATTTGAACAAAATTAAAAAGGTTATAATCTTCTCTGCCATGTGTTTATTTGTAAGTAATTTATTACCTGGGCAGTAGCATTTTAGTTTAAAATGGCAGCATTCTGTCAATGTGACATGTAAACTGACTGCTTTTGCTTTGTAAAACAGCCACACCTTTATTCGTTGAAATTCATCTACTTAATCATAGTTTGACCTGCGCTTTGTTTTTTGTTCAAGATTTGTGTTGGATATGTTCCTGTTTCTTCAGAAGCCAAAGTAAGAGTGTTTCCTTTTCACATGAGACTTATATTGGTTTTATAATGTAGAAAGTATATTAATTAATTCCCAAGGAATTGTACTAGCTGTTTAGTAACTGGAAACTTTCAGGCTTTAAATTCATGAATTGAAGCCACATATTGAATATTAATACTCAAATGTACTACTTCATCTTATTACATCTGCTTAATGTTGCTCCAGTATGTGTGATCAATCCAGATGCATTTACCTTATATTTTGGATGTAAGGAAAGTTGCTAGCACTTTACTCTTCATGAAATCTGATGGGGAAAAAACCAACCAACAATTACTACATCAAGATAGTAGTAACCTTCCATTTTACAGTCTACATAAAGTTTACTATAATATGGTGACTTATGCTTATTATTTGTAACATTCTCAGGTTTCCTAGTGGCCACGTTGCATTTTGAGATATATACTTTGATGATTGGAATTTACCCTCTTGGATAGCCAAGGTAAGATTCTTTCCTTGCACAGGACACTTATGTATCATAGGTTATAATGTAGCCAGAAATTTATATAGGTATATAATAATTTCTCAAGCAAATTGTACAATATGCTTAGCAACTAGGAGCTTGCTACTACCCAGGAAATATATATATATATATATATATATATTTGTTACGAGATGCAGGCAGTCCTTATATTGTGGGTTTGGTATGTAATATACAATTTGTTTTACCTAAAGCCATGAATCACAAGAGAAATATTTTCAGCTAGCTAGCAACCCATATCATGTTTACCAGTTCAAAATTTTGCACCTATGCCAAAAAGCCGACAAATGTATTTTTAGGCATTTCTTTCTTCATCATTCATGGTAACCAACCGAATACCAGGTTCAAAGAATTCAAACAAGCTGCATTGCTGACCTTTTTGTCTCTGGTAGAAGAACACGAATGTTGGCTTTGTTTTATTTTGAAATCCCTGTTGGCAGGTGAGAAAGATCATTATTAAGTTTTATCTGACTCCAGAATATTTCTGATATGTTACGCTGGTAGGTGATTTTTAAAAAAAGATGTTGTTTACTGCAGGATAAACTGTTTAGAACTGATAGAATTATCCAGTATAAATATACTTAGTTTGTGTAGGTTAGTTTCTGCAGTAAACACTGAATCAATAAAAGATGATCCAGTATTCCTGGGCTTCAAAATATATTGTTCTTTCTTATGTAAGTTAAACATGTATTTCTGAAATTATAAGAATTTAATATTTCGGTAAAGACATTTCTATAATAAAGTTAGCAGTTGTCTTGTTTCTTTGTAGATATAGACAGAGCCACAGCATCGGCATTACAAATCCTACTATCGCATTTGTTAGGAGATGCTGGCAGTCCTAATGTTGTGGGTTTGGTATGTAATATACAGTTTGTTTTACCTAAAGCTATGAATCACAAGAGAAATATTTTCAGCTAGCTACAATCATTTTTAAAAGTAGTTGGGACACCTACTATTTTTAGCTAAAATCTACTATATAGGATGATTTCCATACATACCCCCTCCCTCCCCCCAATCAATGTTGGTTTTCAAATCCAAACACGTTTCGGAACAAAATGTCCGTCTATTTGGGACACAACATTGAAAAGGGGGCGCAGGGGATCTGGGTTTGTCTTATAAATCGTTAATTAATTTGGCTACCTGTCCCAACTCTTTTGAAAATGATTGTAGCAACCCATATAATGTTTACCAGTTCAAAATTTTCACCTATGCTAAAAAGCCAACAAACATATTTTTAGGCATTTCTTTCTTCATCATTCATGGTAACCGACTGAATACAAGGCTTAAACAATTCAAACAAGCTGCATTGCTGACCTTTTTGTCCCTGGGAGAAGAACACAAAGTTGGCTTTGTTTTCTTTTGAAATCCCTGTTGGCAGGTGAGAAAGATCATTATTATAAGTTTTATCTGTCTCCAGGATATTTTTGAAAGTATTACTATTATCAAGACTAGCTTATTTCATTGTCTTAACTTTATAATGAAAACTTTTTAGCGGTCTCTCGGGATGTTGTTGGTTCAAAAGTATCTTCTGCATTTAGTGGTGACAATTATTTTATAATAGAGAAAACACAGGGTATGTAAACATGTGAAATTAACATGTTATTACTAGATGTGTTTCTGGTAACTCCAATATTGGGTGTGCTTCTTATCATCTTGTGCTTTATATCTGTTGTTGAACCTGTCTAGGGGCAAATTGAAAAGAGTCAGGGTGATATCGTTACAGACAAGGATGTTATCATTTGTCGTTCATGGTTGAATGATGTGAAACATATGTTACGCTGGTAGGTGATTTTTAACAACCGATGTTGCTTACTGCAGGATGAACTGTTTTAGAACTGATAGAATTATCCAGTGTAAATATAGTTAGTTTGTGTAGGTTTCCTGATGTAGTAACGCAGAATCAATAAGAGATGATCCAGTATGCCATTCTTGGTTATGCCATTGATCCTGGCTTCAAAATATATTGTTCTTTCTTACGTTAGTTAAACATGTATTTCTGAAATTAAATAAATTTAATATTTCTGTAAAGACATTTCTATAATATAAGTGTTAGCAGTTGTCGTGTTTCTTTATAGATACAGACAGAGCCACAGCATCGGCATTGCAAATCTTGCTATCACATTTGTTAGGAGATGCTGGCAGTCCTTATATTGTGGGTTTGGTATGTAATATATAATTTGTTTTACTTAAAGCTATGAATTACAGACATGCCCACTTAATCTAATTATGACGTCACTTCTAGTCAGCGAGGCTTATTTTGCTACTTCTTACGCTTTGACTTTCAACTTTCGATACTTTAAGGGCGTGGTCAAACACGCCCACTTAATCTAATTATGATGTCACTTCTGGTTCGCAAGGCTTATTTAGCTACTTCGTTACGCTTTGACATTCCACTTCCGATTTTTTGTGGGCGCGGTCAAACACGCCCACTTAATCTAATTATGACGTCACTTCCAATCAGCGAGGCTTATTTTTCTACTTCCTTACACTTTGACTTTTTATTTGGGGGTTATTTGGGGGTTTTTTAGGGGTTATTTTGGGTAATTTGGGGTTATTTGGGGGTTATTTTAAGGGTATTTTGCATTATTAACGGTTATATAGGGTTATTTGTGGTTACGTAGGGCTATTTAGGGTTATTTGGGGGGTATTTGGGGTTATTTAAGTTATTTGGAGATATTTTAGGGGTTATTTGGGATTATTTGGGGGTTATTTTAGGTTATTTTAGGGGTTACTTGGGGTTATTTGAGGGGTTATTTTGCAGTTATTTTGCATTATTTACGGTTATTTGGGGTTATTTGAGGTCACTCAGGGCTATTTAGGGTTTCTTGGGGGTTTTGGGGGTTATGTTAGGGTAGTTGGGGTTATTTGGGGTTATTTGGGGGTTATTTAGGAAGTTTGGGGTTATTTAGGGGTGTTTTGGGGGTTATTTAGGGTGCTTTGGGGTTTTTTATGGTTTTATAGGGTTACATACGATTACTTAGGCTTATTTGGGGTTATTTGGTGGTTATTTAAGGTTATTTGGGGGTTATTTGGGGGTTATTTATATTTATTTTAAGGGTTTTTTAGAGTTATTTGGGGGTTATTTGGGGTTTTTTTGGGTTTTTTGGGGGCTATTTGGGGTTGTTTAAGGGTTATTTAGGGGTTTTTTGGGGTTACTTGGGGGTTATTTTTCGGTTATTTAGCATTATTTACGGTTATTTAGGGTTATTTAGGGGTTTTTTTAGTGTCTTTTTGGGGTTATTTGGGGATTATTTGGTGTAATTTGGGGTTAATTAAGGGTAATTTAGGGGGTTATTTAGGAGTTATTTTGGGGTTATTTAGGGTTATTTGGGGTTTACTTAAGGGTTACTTGGGGATTACTTGGGTGTAATTTGGGGTTATTTGGGTTATTTGGGGTAATTTGGGTATCTAGGGGTTTTGGGGGTAATTTGGGGGTTTTTGGGGGCGTTTTTTCAGGATTTTTTAAGATTATTTAGGGTTTTTTGGGGTTATTTAGGGTTCGTTTGTGGTTATTTTGGGGATTATTTAGGGTTATTTTAGGGATTATTTAGGGTTACCTGGGGGTTATTTGGGGGTTATTTTGGGTTATTTGGGGGTTTTTAGGGGATTTTTGGGGGATTTTTGGGGGATTTTTGGGGGATTTTTGGGGTTATTTAGGGATTATTTGGGATTATTTGGGGTTATTTGGGGATTATTTGGGGTTATTTGGGGTTATTTGGGGTTATTTGGGGGTCATCTTGCGGTTATTTTGCATTATTTACGGTTATTTAGGGTTATTTGAGGTTACTTAGTGTTATATAGGGTTATTTTGGGTAACTTGGGGTTATTTTAGTGTTATTCGGGGTTTTTTTGGGGTTATTTATGGTTATTTGGGGGGTTATTTAGCATTATTTACTGGTATTGTAGACTCAGCACAGAAATCGTGTGACTCAATCAATTGCTGCAGTTGCGTGTGTCAAGGAAGGGCTGAGATTCTGGTATGAAGACCAACTGGAAATACTTCGTGGATTTTGAGATTACAAAATCGGCTAAACTCGATGAAACACAAACTTCACGACCAGCTGTTGGAGAGACAGAGATGTAAGAAAGTTTAATTCCAAAAAAATTCTTTGGTAAGCTCATTTATTTGTGAACTTAACATTGTTTTTTAAAAGTTCTCGGTCAAATTGTGCTCTGAATGATTTCTCCCACAACTTGTTAACGAACTGTCAAACCTTATCAATGTTTCGGTTGGGCATTTCCGTTGGCGGAATGTTGAATTGATATTGTTGTATCTCAGATGATTTATCGGCCGAACTCATTAAAGAAGGAGCCAGACAATGCCTTGAAACTACAACAGAACTTCTTAGCAAGAGCGCAGACAGCGATAAATTGATTGTAGATCTTGTCAAAGATCGTTTTGCATCTCGTAGAGAGGATGAGGAAACTAATATTGAAGATACCCGGAATAATGTTGAAATGAAAATCGAACTCAAGGAGTCAGATTTGTAATGTTAAAAAAGATCGGCCATTGTTCGCGCATTTACGAAATGAACAAATTATCTGCTTGTATTTTAGACAATGCAGAACAAAAGGTGCTGCTCACATAACAGGGCGGATCTTCACCCTCGTCAATTTTATTACAAGATTCCGGTCAAAAGTTGAATCTTGGTTCGTCGTTTGTTCAACGAACTCGATATTCGAGTCGTAGTCTGAGAGATGGACCAAGCACTTTTATAGTAAGAATTTCTTTTCAAACTCGCTTTGTGTGAAATTTATTTCGTGGAAGCCCTTTGATTATCCATCCCCTATATTGCTTATAACATGACTGGCAGGGAAAGCAGAAAAGAAAGATATCTTTGATTTAGACTAGCTTTGTTATTTTACAATTGTTTCTTCAGCTTCTTGATGTCGTACCAGATTCCAAAGACAGTGTTTTATACAAGGAAGAAACTGAAGGCAAGCGAAATTACCCTTTCAATATGGTGAAATTCAAAATGGCGGTGCAACAGAGATGATGCCATGTGGATCTCGTAGTTTTCACCTTTGTGAGCAAGCTGGTCGTGCTGTGTGTTCAAAGTTAAGTATTTTGTTTTCCTCTTAATCTTCTAAAGCTAATGGTTTGGTCAGAAATAATGCAAAAAACCATGTACAATATGAAATACTCTTCCTAAAAAGCTAGCTAATTCAGCTCCAATTTTAATACGAATTTTCCCTTTAAATATCTAGCATGAAGATGAAGCCGATTTCGAGGGAATCTTTCAACGTGCTAGCCAGTAAAGGTATTAAGCTCATAACATTTTAGTGATATATGGCATGTTACATTGTACGCCCAGAAAGTAATATGGCTCGGCTTTTAATCCTTCTTTAATTTGCCGTGCTGGATGCTGTATTTCCCTGGATGCTGTATTTCCCTGGATGAAGGGATACTTAAGCTAGAAATCATTTGAACCAAATTAAAAAGGTTATAATCTTCTCTGCCATGTGTTTATTTGTAGGTAATTTATTACCTGGGCCAGTAGCAATTTTAGTTTAAAAAAACAGCATTCTGTCAATGTGACATGTAAAACTGACTGCTTTTGCTTTGTAAAACAGCCACACCTTTATTCGTTGAAATTCTTGTACTTAATCATAGTTTGACCAGCACTTTTTTTTTGTTCAAGATTTGTGTTGGATATGTTCCTGTTTCTTCAGAAGCCAAGGTAAGATTGTTTCCTTTTCACATGAGACTTATATTGGTTCTATAATGTAGAAAGTTATATTAATTATTAATTAATTCCCAAGGAAATTGTACTAGCTGTTTAGTAACTGGAAACTTTCAGGCTTTAAATTCATGAATTGAAGCCACATATTGAATATTGATACTGAATTATGTACTATTCATCTTATTATATCTGCTTAATGTTGCTCCAGTATGTGTGATCAAACCAGATGCATTTACCTTATATTTTGGATGTAAGGAAAGTTGCTAGCACTTTACTCTTCATGAAATCTGATGGGGGAAAAACCAACCAACAATTACTATATCAAGATAGTAACCATTCCATTTTACAGTCTACATAGAGTTAACTATAATATGGTGACTTATGCTTATTATTTGTAACATTCTCAGGCTTCCTAGTGGCCACGTTGCATTTTGAGGTATATACTTTGATGATTGGAATTTACCCTCTTCGATAGCCAAGGTAAGATTCTTTCCTTGCACAGGACACTTATGTATCATACGTTATATAATGTAGCCAGAAATTTATATAGGTATATTAATTTCTCAAGCAAATTGTACTAAATGTTTAGCTACTGGGAGCTTGCTACTACCCAGGAAATATATTGCCTTGGTGAAACAAATACCATATATACTGATGTACGAAGAGTTTATATATACTGATGCACAAAGAGTTATTATATACTGATGCACGAAGAGTATGAAGAGTTATTAATATAGCTAGCACCCATATCATGTTTACCAGTTCAAAATTTTGCACCCAACCTAATACCAGGTTCAAATAACTCAAACAAGCTGCATTGCTGACCTTTTTGTCTCTGGTAGAAGAACACGAATGTTGGCTTTGTTTTATTTTGAAATCCCCGTTGGCAGGTGAGAAAGATCATTGTTAAGTTTTATCTGACTCCAGGATGTATTTGATATGTTATGCTGGTAGGTGATTTTAACTGATAGAATTATGCAGTATAAATATAGTTAGTTTGTGTAGGTTTCTTGCTGTAGTAAACACTGAATCAATAGGAGATGATCCAGTATGCCATTCCTGGCTTCAAAATATATTGTTCTTTCTTATTTTAAGTTAAATATGTATTTCTGAAATTATATAAATTTATTATTTCGGTAAAGACATTTCTATAATATAATTGTTAGCAGTTGTCTTGTTTCATTGTAGATATAGACACAGCCACAGCATCGGCATGGCAAATCCTACTATCACATTTGTTAGGAGATGCTGGCAGTCCTAATATTGTGGGTTTGGTATGTAATATACAGTTTGTTTTACCCAAAGCTATAAATCACAGGAGAAATATTTTCAGCTAGCTAGCAGCCCATATAATGTTTACCAGTTCAAAATTTTCACTTATGCCAAAGAACCAACAAACGTATTTTTAGGCATTTCTTTCTTCATCATTCATGGTAACCGACTGAATACAAATTTAAACAATTCAAACAAACTGCATTGCTGACTTTTTTGTCCCTGGAAGAAGAACACAAATGTTGGCTTTGTTTTCTTTTGAAATCCCTGTTGCAGGTGAGAAAGATCATTATTATACATTTTATTTGTCTCCAGGATATTTTTGAAAGTATTACCATTATCAAGACTAGATTATTTCATTGTCTTAACTATATAGTGAAAACTTTTTAGTGGTCTCTCAAGATGTTGTTGGTTCAAAAGTATCTTCTGCATTTAGTGGTGAAATTATTTTATAATAGAGAAAACACAGGGTATGTAAACATGTGAAATAAACATGTTATTACTTGATGTGTTTCAGGTAACTCCAATCTTGGGTGTGCTTCTTATCATCTTGTGCTTTATATCTGTTGTTGAACCTGTCTAGGGGCAAATTGAAAAGACTCAGGGTGATATCGTTGCAGACAAGGATGTTATTATTCGTCGTTCATGGTTGAATGATGTGAAACATATGTTACGCTGGTATGTGATTTTAACAACAGATGTTGCTTACTGCAGGGATGAACTGTTTAGAGCTGATAGAATTATCCAGTGTAAATATAGTTAGTTTGTGTAGGTTTCCTGCAGTAGTAACGCTGAATCAATAAGAGATGATCCAGTATGCCAATCTTGGTTATGCCATTGATCCTGGCTTCAAAATATATTGTTCTTTCTTATGTTACTTAAACATGTTTTTCTGAAATTATATAAATTTAATAATTCCGTAAAGACATTTCTATAATATAAGTGTTAGCAGTTGTCTTGTTTCTTTGTAGATACAGACAGAGCCACAGCATGGGCTTGCAAATCTTGCTATCATATTTGTTAGGAGATGCTGGCAGCCTTATATTGTGGGTTTGGTATGTAATATATAATTTGTTGTGCCTAATAAAGCTATGAATCACAGACACGCCCGCTTAATCTAATTATGATGTCACTTTTGGTGGGCGGGGCTTTTTTCCTACTTCCTTACGCTTTGATTTTCAACTTCCGATTTTTTGTGGGCGTAGTCAGACACGCCAATCTAATTATAACGTCTTCTCCAGTGGGCGGGGCTTATTTCCCTACTTCCTTACACTTTGACTTTCAACTTCCGATTTTTTGTGGACGTGGTCAAACATGGCAATTCAATCTAATTATGATGTCACTTCCGGTGGGCGGGCTTATTTCACTACTTTCTTACGCTTTGACTTTCAACTTCCGATTTTTTGTAGGCGTGCTCAGACACGCCTACTTAATTTAATTTTGACATCACTTTTGGTAGGCGCGGCTTATTTCTCTACTTCCTTACGCTTTGACTTTCAACTTCCGATTTTTTGTGGCCGTGGTCACACACGCCCACTTAAATCTAATTATGACGTCACTTCCAGTGGGCGGCGGTTTTCTCGCTACTTCCTTACGCTTTGACTTTCAAGTTCCGATTTTTTGTGGAAGTGGTCAGACACGCCCACTTCAGCACGCCCATTTTTAGAATCACTTTTTTTCTTTAGATTCAAATTGGGATTCCCTTTTTTCTCGAGATTCATTTTCAGTTTCACTTTTTTCTCCAGATTTATTTTCGGATTTGACTTTTTTCTTGAGATTCATTTTTGCTGTCAGATTCGGATTCAATTTTTATCTCCAATTCAGATTCGGATTCACATTTTGTCAAGACTCATTTTTGGTTTCACTTTTTTCTGCAAATTCATTTTCCACTTCTGCGAAATAATTGTGAAATCACAATCAAAATTGTCAACTCACAATCAAAATTTTCAACTCACAATCAAAATTGTCAACTAATAATCGAAATTGTCAACTCACAATCAAAATTGGTTTCACTTTTTTCTCCAGGTTCATTTTACCCATCTCTTTTTTCTCCAGATTGATTTTGGATTTTTTTTTCCTCCACATTCAGATTCTGATTAACTTTTTTCTCGAAATTCATTCCCGGATGGATTCACTTTTTTCTCGAGATTCATTTTTGGAATTCATATTTTTCTTTAGATTCAAATTGGGATTCACTTTTTTCTCGAGATTAATTTTTGGTTTCACTTTTTTCTGCAGATTCATTTTCTGATTCGACTTTTTTCTTGAGATTCATTTTCGCTTTCAGATTCGGATTCAATTGTTTTCTCCAATTCAGATTCGGATTCACATTTTGTCAAGACTCATTTTTGGTTTCACTTTTTTCTGCAAATTCATTTTCCACTTCTGCGAAATAATTGTGAAATCACAATCAAAATTGTCAACTCACAATCAAAATTTTCAACTCACAATCAAAATTGTCAACTAATAATCGAAATTGTCAACTCACAATCAAAATTGGTTTCACTTTTTTCTCCAGGTTCATTTTACCCATCTCTTTTTTCTCCAGATTGATTTTGGATTCAGTTTTTTTCCTCCACATTCAGATTCTGATTAACTTTTTTCTCGAAATTCATTCCCGGATGGATTCACTTTTTTCTCGAGATTCATTTTTGGAATTCATATTTTTCTTTAGATTCAAATTGGGATTCACTTTTTTCTCGAGATTAATTTTTGGTTTCACTTTTTCTGCAGATTCATTTTCTGATTCGACTTTTTTCTTGAGATTCATTTTCGCTTTCAGATTCGGATTCAATTGTTTACTCCAATTCAGATTCGGATTCACATTTTGTCGAGACTCATTTTCGGTTAACTTTTTTCTCCAAATTCATTTTGCGCTTCTGTGAAAAATTGTCAACTAACCGTCAAAATTGTCAACTCACAATCAAAATTGTCAACTCACAAGCAAAATTTTCGAATCACAATCAAAATTTTCAACTCACAATCAAAATTGTCAACTCACAATCAAAATTGTCAACTCACAATCGAAGTTGTCAACTTACAATCAAAATTGGCTTCACTTTTTCTCCAGGTTCATTTTCTCCATCTCATTTTTCTCCAGATTCATTTTGGTTTCAGTTTGTTTCTCCACATTAGGATTCTGATTAACTTTTTTCTCGAGATTCATTCTCGGATGGATTCACTTTTTTCTGGAGATTCATTTTTGGATTCAGTTTTTTTCTCCAGATTCAAATTGGGATTCACTTTTTTCTCGAGATTAATTTTCCGTTTCACTTTTTTTTGCAGATTCATTTTCGGATTCGACTTTTTTCTCTAGATTCATTTTCGCTTTCACGTTCGGATTCAATTTTTTCCTAAATTCAGATTCGGATTCAATTTTGTCAAGACTCATTTTCGGTTTCACTTTTTTCTCCAAATTCATTTTCCGCTTCTGCGAAAAATTGTCAACTCACAATCAAAATTGTCAATTCACAATCAAAATTGTGAACTCACAATCAAAATTGTCAACTCACAATCAAAATTGTCAACTAACAATCGAAATTGTCAACTCACAATCAAAATTGGTTTAACTTTTTCTCCAGGTTCATTTTACCCATCTCTTTTTTCTGCAGATTGATTTTGGATTCAGTTTTTTCTCAACATTCGGATTCGGATTCACTTTTTTCTTGAGATTCATTCTCGGATGGATTAACTTTTTTCTCAAGATTCATTTTTGGTATGAGTTTTTTTCTCCAGATTCAAATTGAGATTCAGTTTTTTCTCGACATTCATTTTCGGTTTCACTTTTTTTTGCAATTTCATTTTTGGATTCGTCTTTTTTCTCTAGATTCATTTTCGCTTTCAGATTCGGATTCAATTTTTTCTCCAATTCAGATTCGGATTCACATTTTGTCAAGATTCATTTTCGGTTTCACTTTTTTCTCCAAAATCATTTTCCACTTCTGCGAAAAATTGTCAACTCACAATCAATTGGTTTCACTTTTTTCTCCAGGTTCATTTTACCCATCTCTTTTTTCTCCAGATTGATTTTGGATTCAGTTTTTTCTCCAGATAAAGATTCGGATTCACTTTTTTCTCGAGATTCATTTTTAGATTCAGTTTTTTCCTCCAGATTCAAATTGGGATTCACTTTTTTCTCGAGATTCATTTTCGGAATCACTTTTTTTTCAGATTCATTTTTGGATTCACTTTTTTATCAAGATTCATTTTCGGATTCACTTTTTTTCATGAGATTCATTTTCCGATTCATTTTTTTTCTCGAGATTCATTTTTAGATTCACTTTTCTCGAGATTCATTTACGGATTCACTTTTTTCTTCAGATTCTTTTTCGGAATAACTTTTTTTTCATATTCATTATCGGATTCACTTTTTTCTCGAGATTCATTTTCGGATTCACTTTTTTCTGTGATTCATTTTCGGAATAACTTTTTTCTCGAGATTCATTTTCACTTTCACTTTTTTCTCGAGATTCATTTTCGGATTCACTTTTTTCTCGAGATTCATTTTTGTATTCACTTTTTTTTCTAAATTCATTTTCGGATTCACTTTTTTCATGAGGTTCATTTTCAGATTCACTTTTTTCATTGTATTCACTTTTTTTCTAAATTCATTTTCGGATTCACTTTTTTCATGAGGTTCATTTTCGGATTCACTTTTTTCTCGAGATTCATTTTCGGATTCACTTTTTTCTCGAGATTCATTTTCGAAATCACTTTTTCCTTGAGATTCATTTTCGGAATCACTTTCTTTCTCGAGATTCATTTTTGGAATCAATTTTTTCTCGAGAGTCATTTTCGGAATCACTTTTTTCTTAAGATTCATTTTTTGATTTACTTTTTTTCTCGAGATTCATTTTCGGATTCACTTTTTTTCATGAGATTCATTTTCCGATTCATTTTTTTTCTCGAGATTCATTTTCGGATTCACTTTTTTCTCTAGATTCATTTTCGGATTCACTTTTTTCTTGAGATTCATTTACAGATTCACTTTTTTTCTCGAGATTGATTTTTTGATTCAATTTTTTTTCAGATTCATTTTCAGATTCACTTTTTTCTAGAGATTCATTTTCGGATTCACTTTTTTCTCAAGATTCATAGAAATAAAGAAAGTTAAAAAATGTTAATATATAAAGTTTAAGATTTTTTTTTGATGAAGAATTAATTTGTCTTGGGTTACCTGTTTCGAAGCAGACACAGGTAGCCCAAGATAGACACAGGTAGCCCAAGACAAAAGACTTTTTTTTCAAAAAAAATCTCAGAGAATTGAAGAAAGCTAAAAAATGTTAAGATATAAAGTTTAAGATTTTTTTTTGATGAAGAATTAATTTGTCTTGGGTTACCTGTTTCGAAGCAGACACAGGTAGCCCAAGATAGACACAGGTAGCCCAAGACAAAAGACTTTTTTTTCAAAAAAAATCTCAGAGAATTAAAGAAAGCTAAAAAATGTTAAGATATAAAGTTTAAGATTTTTTTTTGATGAAGAGTTAATTTGTCTTGGGCTATCTGTTTTGAAGAACACAGGTAGCCCAAGATAGACACAGGTAGCCCAAGACAAAATTCTTTGTTGGTAAAAAAATCCAGATTAATTAAAGAATATGTAAAAGCTTAGAGCTTGATAAAATCACTAGGATTAGGATTTGGTGTAAAAATTTGTGTGAAAATGTGTGTGAAAATAGATTTAAAAATAGTGTAAAAATAATGTCAAAAAATAGTGTAAGTATGGTGTAAAATTGGTGTAAAAAAGTGTGTAAAAAGTGTGTAAAAAGTGTGTAAAAAGTGTTTAAAAAGGTGTGTAAAATTGGTGTAAAAAAGTGTGTAAAATTGTGTAAAAATGGTGTAAAAATAGTGTGTAAAAGTAATGTGTAAAAAAGTGTTAAAAATGGTGTAAAAATGGTGTAAAAAGGGTGTAAAGATGCAGTAAAAATGGTGTAAAAGTGGTGTAAAAATGGTGTTAAAATGGTGTAAAAAAGTGCGTAAAAAGTGTGTAAAAATGGTGTAAAAAAAGGTGTAAAAAGTGTGTAAAAAGCGTGTAAAAAAGTGTGTAAAAAGTGTGTAAAAAGTGTTTAAAATTGTTGCAAAATTGTTGCAAAATTGTTGCAAAATTGGTGTAAAAAAGGTGTAAAAAAGGTGTAAAAAAGGTGTAAAAAAGGTGTAAAAAAGGTGTAAAAAAGGTGTAAAAAAGGTGTAAAAAAGTGTATAAAAAGAGTGTAAAAAAGTGTGTAAAAAGTGTGTAAAAATAATGTGAAAATAATGTAAAAATGGTGTCAAATGTGTGTAAAATTGGTGTAAGAATGGTGTAAAAAAGTGTGTAAAGAAAGTGGAAAAACAATTTAAAAACAGTTAAAAATGGTGCAAAAGTGGTGTAAAATTGTGTAAAGATGGCGTTAAAATAGTGTAAAAATAATGTACAAATGGTGTAAAAATGTTGTAAAAATGGTGTTAAAAATGTGCAAAAAGTGTTTAAACAGTGTGTAAAAAGTGTGTAAAAAAGCGTGTAAAAAGTGTGTAAAAAGTGTGTAAAAATGGTGTGAAAAGTGTGTGAAAATGGTGTTAAAAAGTGTAAAAATGGTGTTAAAAAGTTGGAAAAGTGTGTAAAAAAGTGTGTAAAAAGTGTGTAAAAAGTGTGGGGGGAGGTGCAAAAAGTAGTTAAAAAGTTGTTAAAAAGTATTTAAAAAGTTAAAAAAAAAGTTGGAAAAAAATTTAGAGAAAGATGTGGAAAATGTTAGGAAAAAGTTGGGAAAAAGATGGGGAAAATATGGGTAAAACATGGAAAAAAGGCTGGGAAACGTTGGGAAAGAGTTAAAAAAAATGTTGTTAAAAAGTTGTAAAAGAGTTGGGAAAAAAATTTGGAGAAAGATGTGGAAATGTTGGGAAAAGGTAAGAAAGCTGAGAAAAAAGTTGGGAAAAAGTTGGGAAAAAGTTGGGAAAAAGTTGTGGAAAAAGTTGGGAAAAAGTTGGGAAAAAGTTGGGAAAAAGTTGGGAAAAAGTTGGGAAAAAGTTGGGAAAAAGTTGGGAAAAAGTTGGGAAAAAGTTGGGAAAAGTTGGGAAAAAGTTGGAAAAAAGTTAGAAAAAAAGTTGTGAAAAGTTGGGAAAAAAGTTGGGAAAAAAAGTTGTTAAAAAGTTGGAAAAGAGTTGGGAAAAAGGTTGCAGAAATATGTAGAAAATGTTGGGAAAAAGGTAAGAAAAAGTTGGAGAAAAAGATGCGGAAAATGTTGGGAAAGAGATAGGGAGAAAATTGGGAGAAAGTTGGGAGAAAGTTATGGAAAATTGGGAGAAGGTTGAGAAAAATTTAGGGAAATGTTGGGAAAATGATGGGAAAGAAGTTATGGAAAGGTTGGAAGAAAGTTGGAAGGAAGTTGGGAAATGGTGTGGAAAAATGTTGGGAAAATTGTGAGAGAAAATTTGGAGAAATGTGAGAAAGGGTTGGGATATGTCGAGAGAAGTTGTGAAAAAATTGAGAAGGAATGGAAGGGGGGGAGGAGAAGAAGAAAGAAAGGAGAGAGAAGAAAGGGGAGGGGGAAGGAGGGGAAAGGAGGGAGCAGGAAGAGAAGGCAGAGGAGGAGAAAGAAGGGAGGAAAGGAGAGGAGAGGGAGAGGGAAGGAAGAAAAGGGAGGGGAAGGAAGAGGGAGGGAGAAGGAGGAAAAGGAGAAGGGGGAGAGGGAAGGAGAGGTGAGAAGGGAGAGAGGGAGGAAAGGAGGGGAAAGGAGGGAAAGGGGAGAGAAAGGGAAGAAGAGAGAGGGGGGAGAAGAGAAGGGAAGGAAAAATGAGAGGGGAGAGAAAAGAGAAGGAAGGGAAAAAAGAGGAAGGAGGAAAAAAAAAAGGGGAGGGAGAAGAGGGAGAGGAGAGGGAGGGAGGAAAAAGGGGGAAAGGGGGGAAAGGGGGAGAGAGAGAGGAGGGAAGGAGAAAGAGAGGGGAAAGGCAAGGGGAGAGGAAAAAAAAAAAAAGGGAAAGAAAAGAGAAGAGAGAAAAGGAAAGGGAAAAGGAAGAGGGGGGGAAAAAAGAGGGAAGGGGAAGGAGAAAAAAAGGGAGAAGGAAAAAAAAAGGAGAAAGAAAAAGAGAAGAGAAAGAGAAGGGGGGAAGGAAAGAAGGAGAAGAGAGGAGAAAAAGAAGAAAGAGAAAAAAAAGGGGGAAGAGGGGAGAAAGGGGGAAGGAGGGGAAGGAGAGAGAAAGAGGAGAGAAGGGGAAAGGAAAGAGGGAGAAGGGAAAGAGAGGAAAGGGAGAAGGGGAGAGGAAAGAGAAGAAAAGGGAGGGGAAAGAGGAAAGAGGAGGGAGAGGGAGAGGAAAAAGAAGAGGGAGAGGGGGAAAGAAAAAGGAGAGGGAAAGGGGGAAGAAGAGGAGAGAGAGAAGGGGAAAGGAAAGGAGAAGGGAAAGGAAAAGAAAAGAAAAGGGAGGGGAAAAAGGAGAGAAGGGAAAGAGGAAAAGGAAAGGAAGAGGAAGGGGAAGGGAAGAGAAGAGGGAAAGGGGAAGGGGGAAAAAAAGAAGGGGAAAAAAGGGAAGGGAAAGGACAAAGGAGAGGGAAGGAAAAGAGGGAAGGGGAGAGGAGGGGGAGGGAAAGGAGAGAAAGAGGGAAGGAAAGAAAAGAGAAGAGAGAGGGAAAGGAAGGAAAAGGGAAGGGGGAAAAGGGAAGGGAGAAGGAAAGAAAAGAAAAGGGAAGGGAGAAAAAGGAAAAGGAAAGGGGAAGAGGAGAGAGAAGGGAAGAGGGGGAGGGGAGAGGGAAAGGAGGGGAGAGAAAAGGAGAGGAGGAAGGAAGGGAAGGGGAGAAGGAGGGAAAGGAAGGGAGAGGAAAGAGGAAGGAAAAAAAAGGGAGGGGAAAGAAAGGGAAGGAAAAGGGAGGAGGAAAAAGGGGAGAAAGAAGGGGAGGAAAAAAAGGGAAAAAGAAGGGGGAAAAAAAAGAGGAAAAAAAAGGGGAAGAAAAAAGGGAGAAAAAAAAGGGGAGAAAAAAAGGGGGAGAAAAAAAGGGGGAAAAAAAAGGAGGGGAAAAAAGAGGGAAAAAAGGGGGAAGAAAAAGGAGGGAAAAAAACAGGGGAGAAAAAAAGGAAAAAAAAGAGAAAAAAAGGGGGGAAAGAGAGGGGGGAGGAGGAGGGGAGAGGGAGGGAAGAGGGGGAGAGAAAGGGAGAGGGGGGAGGAGGGAGAGGAAAAAGGAGAGAAGAGAGGAGGAGAGAAAATTACGGGTCTCAGAGGCGAGAAACGGTCAGCCTTAGGGTTGGGGGTTGCCATGGGGTCAAGGGTATGCCATAGGGTTGGTTTTATTTCTTTTTTGATTTTTGGGAGTTTAAAACGTTTTCTAGAGACATGAAGGGATGTTTTAGGCTCCAAAAATTATTTTCTTAATTTTAAACATTTTTTCAGATTTGTTCGAGCAAATTAAAATTTTGAATTTTTTTAGGGTAAGGGTTAGGGTTGGTAAAAGCTTAAAATTAAATTACAATTTTAGACGTTTAAAAATTTTCAGGGACATGAAGGGTAGTTTTAGGATAAATATAATATTCTTTTTATTTTAAAAATTTTTTCAGATTTTTTTGAGCCATTTAAAATTTTGGATTTTTTTTATGGTAAGGGTTAGGGTTAGAGATAGCTAAAATTTATTTCTTTAATTTTTAGGGTTTGGAAGTGTTTCCTAGGGCTATAAAGGGATGTTTAGGGATAATTAGAGTTTTTTATTAATTATAAAAATTTTTTCAGATTTTTTCAAGAACTTTTTAAATTTTTAGTATAACCCTAGGGTTAGGGTTAGGGTTAGGGTTAGGGTTAGGGTTAGGGTTAGGGTTAGGGTTAGGGTTTAGGGTTAGGGTTAGGTAGGTAGGGTTAGGGTTAGGGTTAGGGTTAGGGTTAGGTTAGGGTTAGGTTAGGGTTAGGGTTAGGGTTAGGGTTAGGGTTAGGGTTTAGGTTAGGGTTAGGGTAGGGTTAGGGTTAGGTTAGGGTTAGGGTTAGGGTAGGGTTAGGGTTAGGGTTAGGGTTAGGGTTAGGGTTAGGGTTAGGGTAGGGTTAGGGTTAGGGTAGGGTTAGGGTTAGGGTTAGGGTTAGGGTTAGGGTTAGGGTAGGGTTAGGGTTAGGGTAGGTTAGGGTTAGGGTTAGGGTTAGGGTTAGGGTTAGGGAGGGTTAGGGTTAGGGTTGGGTTAGGGTAGGGTTAGGGTTAGGGTTAGGGTTAGGGTTAGGGTTAGGGTTAGGGTTAGGGTTAGGGTTAGGGTTAGGGTTAGGGTTAGGGTTAGGGTTAGGGTTAGGGTAGGGTTAGGGTTAGGAGGTTAGGGT